GGGGCGGGCGGGGCGGGCGGGGGCGGGCGGGCGGGCGGGCGTGGCGGGGGCGGGCGGGCGGGGTTGGGCGGGGGCGGGCGGTGCGGGCGGGCGGGCGGGCGGGCGGTTGCGGGGCGGGCGGGGCGGGCGGGCGGGCGGGTCGGGCGGCGGGGGGGGCGGTGGGGCGGGGGCGGGGGGGCGGGCCGGGCGGCGGAGCGGGCGGCGGCGGGCGGAGGGGCGGGCGGGGGCGGGCGGGCGGGCGGAGCGGGCGGGCGGGCGGGCGGGCGGGCGGGCGGGCGGGGCGGGCGGGCGGGCGGCGGGGCGGGGCGGGCGGGTGGCGGGCGGGCGCGCGCGGCGGCGGGCGGTGCGGGCGGGTGCGGGAGGACGGCTGGGCGGGCGGGCGGGCGGCGGGCGGGCGGTGGCGGGTCGGGCGGGCGGGCGGGCGGCGGGCGGGGGCGGGCGGGCGGGCGGGCGGGCGGGGCGGGCGGGCGGGCAGGTGCGGGCGGGTGCGGGCGGGGGGGGCGGGCGGGCGGGCTGGCGGGCGGGGGCGGTGGGGAGGGGGGTGCGGGCGGGCGGGCGGGCGGGCGGGCGGGCGGGCGGCGGGCGGGCGGGGCGGTGGGCGGGCGGCGGGCGGGCGGGCGGCGGGCGGCGGCGGCACGCGGGGCGGGCGGGCGGGCTGGGCGGGCGGGCGGGCGGGGCGGAGGGGCGGGGCGGGCGGGAGCGGGGCGGCGGGAGGGGGGGGAGGGCGGTCGGGGCGGCGGCGCGGAGCGGGCGGGCGGTGCGGGCGGCGGGAGGGGCGGGGGAGGTGGCGGGGCGGGCGGGGGCGGGCGGTCGGCGGGCGGGCGGGCGGGCGGGCGGCGGGCGGGCGGGCGGGGGGGGGGCGGGCGGCGGGCGGGCGGTGCGGCGGGGCGGGGGCGGGCGGCGGGCGGGCGGGTGGCGGCGGGGGGGCGGGCGGCATCTGGGCGGGCGGCGGGCGCTACCCCATGTCAAGCGGGCGGGCCTTCTGGGCGGGCGGGGCGGGCGCGGCGCGGCGGGCGGGCGGGCGGGCGGGCGGGCGGGCGGGCGGGCGGGGCGGGCCGGCGGGGGCGGTGCGGTGCGGGCGGGCGGATTGCGGCGGGCGGGAGGGCGGGCGGGCGGGCGGCGGCGGTCGCGGGCGGGCGGGGCGGCGCCGGGCGGGCGGGCTGCGGGGGCGGCTGCGGGCCGGCGAGGGCGGGGGGCGGGGCGGTGGGCGGGCGCGATGGGGCGGAGCGGTGAGGGCGGGCGGGCGGGCGGGCGGGCGGCGGTGCGGGCGGAGCGGGCGGGCGGGCGGGCGGGCGGGCGGGGGGGGCGGGCGGGCGGGCGGGTGCGGGGGCGGCGAGGCTGGGGCGGGAGGGCGGGGGCGGGCGGGCGGGCGGGCGGGCGGGCGGGCGGGCGGCGGGCGGGCGGGCGGGCGGGCGGGCGGGGGCGGGCGGGCGGGCGGGGGGCGGTTGGCGGCCGGGGGGGCGGGCGGGCGGGGCGGGCGGAGCGGGCGGCCGGGCCGGGCCGGGCGGCGGGCCGAGGTCGGCGGGCGGCCGGGCGGGCCGGGCGGGCGGCGGGCGGGCCGGGCGGTTGCCGGGCGGGCGGTGCCGGGCGGGCCGGGCGGGCCGGGCGGGCCGGGCGGGGCCCGGGGCCGGGCGGCCGGGGGGGGCGGGCCCGGACGGCGGGGCCGGGCGGGCCGGGCGGGCCGGGAGGGGTGCGGGCGGGCGGGCGCGGCCGGGCGGGCGGGTCGGGCGGGTCGGGGCGGGCGGCGGGCGGGCGGCGGGCGGGCGGCCAGCGGGCGGGCGGGCGGGCGGGCGGGCGGGGCGGGGCGGGCGGGCGGGCGGGCGGGCGGGCGGGCGGGGGGCGGGGGCGGGGCGGTGCGGCGCGGGCGGGGGGGGCGGGCGGGCGGCGGGCGGGCTGGGGCGGGCGGGCGGGAGGGGCGGGAGGCGGGCGGGCGGCGGGCGGGCGGGCGGGCGGGAGGGAGGGCGGCGGGGGGAGGGCGGGCGGGCGGGCGGGCGGGCGGGCGGGGGCGCGGCGGGCGGGCGGGCGGTGCGGGCGGGCGGGCGGGCGGGCGGCGGCGGGCGGGCCGGGCGGCGCGGGCTGGGCGGGGGCGGCGCGGGGCGGGCGGGGGCGGGCGGTGGGGGCGGGCGGGCGGGCGGGCGGGCGCGGCGGGCGGGGCGGGGGGCGGCGCCGGGCGGAGGCGGGCTGTCGGGCGGTGCGGGGAGGGCGGCGCGGGGGGCGGCGGGGGCGGGCGGGGGGGCGGCGCGGGGGGCGGGGCGGTGCGGGCGGCTGCGGGGGGGGGGCGGGCGGACGGTAGCGGGTGCGGGCGGTGGGCGGCGTTGCGGGCGGGGGCGGCGCTGGGCGGGCGCTGGTGGCGGCGGTGCGGGGCGGGCGGTCCCAGTGCGGCGTGGGGCAGGCGCCGGCCAGATCGATCGGGAGCGCCATACGGCGCCGAAAGCGGGATCGGCGGGCGGCGCGACCCGGGCGGTCGGGGCGGGGCGGGCGGGCGGGCGGGCGGGTTCGGCGGGCGGGGCGGGGCCGGGGGCGGGCGCCGCGGGGTTCGGGCGGGCGGGGGAGGGCGGGCGGGCTGGATCGGGCGGGGGGCGTGGGCGGGCGCCGGGATGCGGCGGCGGGCGCGCGGGCGGGGGCGGCGGGGGCGGGCGGTGAGGTTGGCGGGCGGGCGCGCGTGCGGGAGCATGCGCGTGGGCCTACGCGTGTTCCTGTGCGTGCGAGCGTGCATGTGCGCGCGCGTGCGTGCGTGCGCGCGTGCGTGCGTGTGCGCGTGCGCGTGTGGGTGTGTGGGTGTGAGTTTGTGTGGGTCATGTGGGTGCGGGTGTTGGTGTGGTGTGTGTGTGTGTGGGTGTGTGGATGTCTGTGGTTGGGGGAGTGTGGTGGGGATGGGGGGGGGGAGGTGTGGTGGGGATGTGGGGGGGGGAGGTGTGGTGGGGGTGTGTGCCTGGGTGTGGCTGGTGGCTGGGTGTGGCTGGGTGGCTGGGTGTGGGCTGGGTGTGGCTAGGTGTGTCTGTGTGTCTGTGTGTCTGTGTATTTGTGTGTTTGTGCGCATGTGTTTGTGTATGTGTGTGTGTGTGCGTTTGTCTGTGTGTATGTGCCCTTGCTTGCTTGCGGGTTTGCACGTTTGCGCGTGTGTGTTTGCGCGTGCGTTTGCACGCTTGTTGGTTGGTGCGTTCGCGCACGCGGACTGGGATGGCGCAACCAGTTCAAACCCTTCTGCCCGTAGACTACAACTCTGGAAGTAGCGTAGTGGAACCACCTATGGGGCGCTGAACTGATATCTGCAAGCTCCACGGGCCACAAGTGCCAGTTTGGAGCTGGCTTCGTTTCCAAGCCACGGGACTCTTTTCTCCCTCAACTTCTTGTCTCAACAGGGGCCGGCTGGAGAACCCCCACCTCACAAACCCCCGGTTGCGTCCAAACGTGAGAGTTGGTCTGCCTCATCCCCGCCTCGACTTCTCCAGGTCGTCGGCGTTCACATAGCCCTCCATCCTAGGCTTTCGCGTTTTTTTCGGGCCACCAGGAGATCCAGGTCTGTTTTCTGCAATGATGCTTGGTCGTTTTTGTGTGTGTTTCTGTTTTTGCTGGTGTCTATGTTTGCGTTTGCGAACTGCCCTTTTCTGAACCACGGGGCAAGTGGCGTCTATCTTCTCGCACGGGGCAAGTCTCCGGAACGAGATGGAACGAGACACTCCGCATCACCCACTCAGCACCATTCTGAGGTATGGAAGTGTGGGTTTTGGTTTCACGGTTGAAGCCCTAAGCACTACCAACAGCGCAAACAAAAAAAAGAACCCTAAGTTTTGATCGAGCGAGCAAGTGCGCACGTGGCTCCGCGGCACCAACATTGAACTTGCAATGCATGTTCCTGGGGTGGGTTGCGCTGTTGTCACCGGGCCTGGAGTCTGCTTGGAAGCGATGCTGAGGACAGAGTATGTGTGGCCCATCTTGTAAAGCCCTACAAAGAACCACCAACATCAATATGCAAGGTACTGTGTGAGCGCGAAATTACAAACTGTCCAAAGACGACATGGGAAAATTGGTCTTTGTGAGAAATTTGGAAGGGCCTACCAAAGCTGAGTACCGCTACCGGTGCCCGATCCAATTCTACTTATTTAGGCCATGCTGGTGGACAAGCTCCGCTTCGAACCAGTGGATGAAGCCCAAGCCCCATGCAAGCTGGGATGCGCTTTTTGCGCCTGTTCTTCCCCCTGTTGGTTCTTTTTTAGTAATCTTCCATTTGCTTAAACCCTCTGAACAAAAAACAGTAGTGATAGATTCCCTTTAAAAACTAACAGGGGAAAATATGCTTAAGCAAATAGAAGTAATCTTTTTGGTACGCTTTCAATATCCACCGCGAAGCCGGCAGGCAGCACAAAAAGCATCCGCCCGAGTTCGGCCGAGTCCAATTTTGGGCAAAAAAGCCTGGCCCCTTCACTCCAAAAGCGAACTTGGTAAACATGTTCAGGGGGACCCTTGTTTGATCTTTAGAAAAATGTTTGTTTCCTGGGCTGTCCGTTCATGATAAAAGCGACGAACTTGTGGGCAAAAGACGCCCAAACTACCTCTAAACCAACGAGAAGAAAACAGCCCAAAGCACAGAAATCCCATGTTTGTTCCATCCTTGCCACAAATCTGACCCCCAGAACGGCCGAAAAAAAACACAGGCCCTCGACCCGCGCCGCGCGCTCGACCCGTCGAAACGAACCGCCTGGAGGTGTTCAGAGAGTCAGAGGCATTCACATCGTCGAATCCCAACACCTGGCAAGGCCGGGAGCGAACAGGAGTGGCTTCTCTCTTTTTTGAGGCCACAGCTTTTTGGGGGTGGAATTGTTGGACATCATTCAGGTGGAAATGTAGGTGTTTGGGTGGAAATGTATGTCCAACAACACTTTTCAGGAGGTTCCCTGTGAAAAATCGCAGCCAGTCAGTGTTCCGATTCCTGTTTGGAACCTCCAAGAGTGGCAGGTTCAATGGAACCCACCAGTAAATTGCAACTTACTCTGAAATCGCATGACGTAAGGCAAATGAGGGCAGTCCTTTGTTTGGGAACCCTTTTTGGCTGAAGGAAAGCAACATGAGACGTTGCCCGTCTTGTGTCTGCACTGGCGAATCCTATTCTGTATTACAGGGGAAGCAAGAGGAAACTGTTGCCATAGCCAACATTCCTGTCCAAAGCAACCTTTCGACTGGACTTCGGGTGTCCTGCGGGTTTCCTGCGGGTTTCCCTGGCCTGGGCGAGCTGCAGGGTCCTCGGCACGGTCAGCGCAGTGGCAGGCCTCGGAACTCGAACCACGCGGGGGTTGGCGGGGGTGGCGGGGGAAAGGGAAGGAGATTCGCTGGAAAAGATCTAGCTGTGGCTCAAAAAACCGCAACTCCCAAATGGCTTGCCCTGGTAACCCTGGTAAGTGGAAACATGGACCAAAACCTGCGGTTTGTTTCTTCGGTTTAATTCTGAGCCACACCCAGAGTGGGATGGGTCCAAAATTCAACCACCGAGGGACTGCAGGTGTCAGTCCTCGTTTCGATTTATGTTGGGCTCCTTTTTTTGACCCACGCCCATATCAGGGACTGCCGGAACCTCTTGCTTGGCCTGAGTGAAATCTTGAGGTGATCGGTTTTGGCGACTCCAACCCCTCTTGATAAAGATAAAGTGGTCTTCGTAGGTTTTGACCACAGGTTTCTCGGGGAGGCATCTTTGTACATGGCCCTTTCCTTTGTTTGAGGGACATCCTTAAAAGGGGTACGAGGCACGAAGTGAGCAAAACACGGCTCGAAGCTCTCAGTTTCTCATGTGAGGTGTAGTAAAAATGAACAGAACCAAAAAACAAAACAAAAACAAAAACTGACAAGAAGAGTGAAGATTCAATGGTGTCTAAACCTAGGAGCTCCTTTGATCAGCTTCCCTCTTGAAGCCAAGTGGTTTGGAACACCGTTCCCATTCACCGACTCGGAACTAAGGATGTTGCAGGAGTCATGTTGACCCCTTAAACCCCCCAGTTATTCACTGGGCTGTGGGTGAAATTAACACCCCCACTTAGCAAAAAAAAACTAAGGGGACGGCTGGGAACCGCCAAGTTGTGAGGGTACCTTTTCGTGGGGTTCCGCTCTTCCAGCAAAATCGAGTCCCTGATTCACAACTGCGGGATGTATCAATCAGGGTCGACATTGAGTCATGGTCATCAGAGGGGTACGTGCTAAAATGGAAAGACCCGAAAGTTGCGGTTTCCTTTTTGGCGTCCCTTCAAACCAAGCTGAAGCAGGCGCCCTCAAAAAAGAAAACATGCAATCATGGGTGTTGCCAGAGCGGGGGGGGGCATGGAACAAATTGAAGAATTCTGCGCACAGGATGGTGGAATTCCAAAATGTTCGGCCGGCGCAGGGATCCGTAAAGGGATGCGGGAACCCCCGAATTTGGCTGCCTAACCTGGTCGACAAAGAGGCGTCACCTTTTCTAGTGTGTGTTTTTTTCTGATGGTACCCCTTTTGGGCTGACTAAAAGGCAAACCGAAGCCATTCTGGGGAGTCCTCTGAAAAAGGACACGCCCAGCCAAGCTAAGCAAATTAGCGCTCTTGACCAGGTAGCACGGAACCTGCCCGCCAACAGCGTTCGGCGGTCGGGCGATCGATTTGTCTCTACCTGCGCGAAAATCTCAGGCTTGGATGAATGCTAGAGTACCCTCCTATGGTTCTGTCTAAGCGCAACAAAGCCCTGTCTTCCATGATTGTTGGAAGGGCAACCGACGCGATCAGATCCCTTCAAAACTGGTCAATTTCCCTCGGAAACCGGTCAAATTCCGGTCAATTCCCTTAGGACCGGTCAAATTCCCCTCTGAAAAATGATCAAATCCCATCTAAAACCTGTAGAACCGGTCACATCCCCTCCAGAAACCAGTCAAATTTCCTAGAAATGTGCACCTTCGCTTGGCCCAAGCCCGCTGCCATTCTCTGCTGCTCTCGTTCTGGCCCTTGAAGCCATGTGGAAACACGCGGACATGCACCCACCCCCTGCCTTGGAAACCAGCTCACGGATTTTGGCGCCGACACACGCACTCCAATAAACGGTAAAAACCTGAAAGCCAGCGAAAAGCGGACGAGCCGAGGCGGGCAACGCGAAGCGTTTACCACTGGAAGAACTGACGCCACGTTTTGCTGGAACCTTCACGACGCTGATCGCTCAGTGGTTCTCTTGCGAGGATTCTCAGGAATCAAATGCCCAGCCAGCCCAGTTGTTTCTTCAGAAAGGCAGCTCTACTACAGGCATAACAGGTGATCCTTTGTGAAAAATAGATGGGTCTCCCTCGAAAATGGAACCCATCTATTTCTACCAAAAATATCTGATCAAAAGGACACCGACTGCAAACCATCTCCATTTCGCACCACCTATGAACCCCCCTGGAATGATTCGATTCGTACATACCAACCAACCGCTTTCTTGGGCTCAGGGAAGGACCTTCCGGGAGGGAATGAACCTACGGATTCCCCTAAAGGAAACCATACTGTGGATGGACGAAATCCTGCACCACTTTAAAACCATGAGAAACCACTGTTTGTTGGCATTTATAGGGGAATCATCATTCTATGGTTTCTCAGGTGATGCAGGATTTCGTCCATCCACAGTAGGAGCTGGCTATTCTTGAAGTCATTCCGACTCCTTCCCCGCAAAATCCAACCCAGCGTGTCAACCAGGGAGTTCCTATGGACGAACTCCAGGTCGCACCGCCGGAGGTTTCGAAACCAAGGGGAGTGTGGACTGTTTGTTGAAAATTTGCAGGGGAATCAACTCATTCCGTTGGGTTTCTTCGGTGGTGCGAAACGGATTTCGCAACCATCCACAGTAATGACTGGCGTCAACTGCAGTGAGGCTCCGGACACAGCGCTTGAAAGCACAAGAACCGCCAGCCTACGCGCGTTGAGACGCATGGCCCCGGGCCACGGAAAAGTGAACAACCCCGTGGACTGTTTTGTTTGTTTGTTTTTGGATCCCTGCAGGTTTTCCTTCCGGCTCTTTTTGGGCTCCCTTCTGGTTGTTCCCTTTGGGTTCCCTTTGAGTTCCCTTCCCTTCTCTGGTTAAATCCCCAAACCAATCCAAACCGCCAATTCGGGATACTTGCCCATTGGTTGGGGAAGCCGTCTTCAAACACAACGGGAGTTAGGTCTGAACGTCTTGAGTCGAGATCCTCTTGCCATTCGTGCCACTTGCTGGTGGCTTGGCGAAGCTTGTCTCTTAGCCCCCGCTTCGTTCCGTTCGGAACGAAACGCGTTTCGAACGAAAGGCTCGAGGGAGAAAAAGAGATGGTAACTCATGACCTCTCCACACTCTCCAGACTCCCGGCACAAAAGGTTCCCTGGAAAAACCTCAGCAACCAAAAGGATGACCCGCTCGCCTCAGACTCCCAGACATGACTTCCCGCCAAGCAGCAGCGACATAAGAAGGCGACCCCCCGACCCAAGGGCTGGAAGTTTTGATGTTTTTTTGGTTTGGGGGGAGGGGGTGTACAGGGAAACCACAGGGAGAACCACCTTTTGGCCAGGGTGGGGAGGGGGGGGAAGGTCAACATTGACAAACCCTTGCTTTCATTTCGCGGTGCAGATGGATTTTTAACCATCATGACAACCTCTTGCCGGCCAAATCGGGTCTCTGTCGATTCGGGAAACACCTCTTCCAAGGTGAAACACTTGGAAAAGCTCGTCTGTGATATACCAAAGCGGGTGTACCCTTGTTGCATGGAAAAAAAGGACGCCGAATGGAAAACCCTTCGGGGTTCCCTAAAAACGACAACAACCAAAAAGAAACCTCCGTCCAAACATCGATCCCCAAAGCCGGGGGGGATCGAACAGGGTTAAAAAGGTCGTACATTGAAACAAAAACAAACAAACGAAAAACGGGGTGGGGGGGGGGGGTGGGGCCCAAAGCCACTTCCAGGGACCACCACTTCCAGGGACCTTCCAACCCGGCGATCGCGGATCGCGGATCTGGATCGCGCACCAGAGCGGCATGGCCCCCGCTCTGAATGGGCCTCGATCGATCGATTCGCGAGCGAGCCGCGGGTTCGGGGCGAAACGATCCCCTCGCGTTTTCATGACCCAACCCAGGCCTGCCTGAGCCCGGAGCAAAACAGGATTGGTTCGGGATTTGGAAATTTGGAGCCCAAGTCCTTTTGAACCCAAATGAAGGTATCCAACCCACCAAACCAAAGAGGGGGAAGCTGCTACCTCGGGAAGGGTGAAATCAGCTGATACCCCAGTGGGGACGAGACGAGTTTCTCTTGGACTCTTGGAGCCCGGAAGCAGAAGAAGAAGAAGGATCCAACAGATCGTTGCTTGTCCACAGCCATCACATGAAATTCAGCGAGTTCCAAGAGGGAATGTTTCCACAGCCGGGAGGCTCTCGAGCCCTCGGTCCAAAAATGCTCAAGTGCAAAATGGGGATGGGGGGGTGGATCGAAAGGTCCTTTGCATGGGATAACCATCAGGGAAAACCACAAAAAAAAAATTGACTGTCGCCACATGGGCGACAATATACATGGTTAACCCTGGGGGCCCTCAATGGAAAGAAGGCACGGCCGGAAGCCTTCACTGAAACTCGGCGAACCCGGGACTGACTGTCGGGAAAAAAGAGAAGAGAAAAACCAAAAAAAAATGGGGGAAAAAAAAACGGAGAAAATAAAACTTATTCGGGACATCCAGAATTTCTCTCTTGAAATGGGTGTGTCTGGTGTCTGCCTTGAAAAAAAACCCAACATGAGTGGTGTCTCCTTTGGTTCTTTGGTTTCTGTTTAGACCAACCCCGAAAAGGGTACCAGCAAAAAAGACACCTAAGTGTCCCGACTGATTTTGGGGCCTCAAAATGGGTTGCTTTTGAGGGCCCATGAGGGGTCCGGGTTCTCCATTGCAGGGTCCGGGGGTCTGCATTGGAGGGGTCATGACCCTTAGGGTAAATCTCTACCCTGAAAATCTCACCATAATCCGGTGTAGGACAATGGACCGGTTTGCTCGCTTGCTCACTGGCCGCTGCCTGCTTTCCGTGCGTTGGGAAATCTCGACACATGTCTTACAAATGATTTCTAGCAATGCTGTTCTTTGTCTTTCAGTCATGATCCTCCTTCCTCTTCCTCTTGGAGAGCCCTGGAAAAGCTCCTGAAACTATTTGGTGTCCTTGTGGGTTCATAAAGGGGCCAGGCCGCGGCATCTCAAGGCTCCGATTTTTGGACGCACCGCGCCTCAAGTTTCGGTCTCGGGCATGGCGCGGGCAGCTCGAAGCTCCCACGAGGCTCAGAGCAAAAAGCGAACCGCGAGCGGTAGCAGGGCGTAGGCTTCACAAAGGTCCCGAGATTTCCGTTGGTAATTTTAGTCATCATCTTTTCGGCCAATAAAAGGTGCTTGTGTCCTTTGGGGGTGATGGTTGAAGGGGAGCTACAGGGAGCCCTGCTTCAGGGAAACTCCAACATGAAATGTGTCCCAGAAAGGGGGAGCGCTCCATCTTGGGAGCTTCGGATCATAACTTGAGGCGTCCCCTCTGACACAAATCAGTGTCAAAGCGCTGTTCAGAAAGACCTATTGACGTTCAGTTCCACCCAGATGCTCATAAACCTTCATGTTCTCATTAGTAAAATCCCCTTCAAACAGGAAGAAGCCCCTACCCTCTCTCCATCATGGAAGTGGACAAAACGCCTCAACAGGGAAGCTCCAACGTCAGCTCTTGTCGGGAAGGGGATACAAATAACAAAATCGCAGGTGCGGATGCCCCCATGTTCATCAAATCACCATGTAAAATGCAAAAAACAACAAAAACAGGGGGTGCCCTTGGTTTCAGAGCATCCGCGCTACCTCGCGCAGTTTGCAAACTGAATGATATAGAGTACCAACACCACTTTGGGCTTCTCCGGGATGGGCAATGGCGCATGCTACACTTGGCTCAGACAACTGACTAACGCATGAGCCCTGTACACATGGTTACATCCTTGGAGTGTCACAGGTTGGACCCTTTCATTTCGATTGCTAGAATGATTCACCGGCCGTTTCCAAAGGTTCCTCAGAGACATTCTTAAAACAAGTTCCAACGCGGAAACCCTCAAAAAACACATTGCGAGTTTCTATGACCACTGATGAGGAGGAAGCGCCCTCTTGCCCCACCTGCAGGGGAGGGCAAACGCGGATCTATTGCGACAACCCCTTGTCTACACACACAAATATGCGGGTTGGTAGGTACCAGTGGACATGTATGTGTTTACTTATTATTTTTGCATGTATGCATGTATGCATGTAAAATGTACTTGTTTCGCTTTGCATATGTATGCACATATTGTTATGATGTTGTTTTGTAACGCTATGATATGCTAGCGTATCTTCTCGTGTGTTGAGCTGTATCATCTTATCTAGTGTCATGTATGTGTATACATATGCAACACGCGTTTGTACATTGTAAGTGTATGCTGCATGCGTCTCTACGCACACATGTTGAAACAAAAATCAGCGGACCAACCCTGAGCACTGCTGTCCGATCTGCTGTCAACCCGAACAACTTTTCCGTGGGTTCGCCTCGAAGCGGTCGAAAGTCTAATGTCCGCGACATGCGGGAGGATGCACAACGGTCACTGGTAATGCAAAGGCTCTTGCTGGGCAACGGCATCATTATTTTACTAGTATCAAGGTCACCCCCCGTTCAGTAGTAGGTTAACACCCCCATTTGCTGACTTTGATGACACCCAAAACACCGTCAAAAGAATGACCCCAGAGAAGAAAAGAAGAAGAAAAACACACACACACACACACACAAACATAATGCCAATTGCAACGTGCAATTGGAGCATCTCAGTACCCGTGGGTCCACCATACTGGCTCACCCACCTCCCCCAATCCAAAAAGGGGGACCCCTTCAACAGGAGATCCTCTTAAGTTGATGTGGTGAGACGGGTGGCGACTTCTCCCCGCTCTATTTATAATGCTTCTGAAGAATCAAGCGAGCCTAAATTCGGCGGCGTGCGCTGGTGTGGTTGGCATAAACCTAACACCTCCCAGATCCGCCGTTTTTCTGCCAAGGAAAGAGTGACTGGATTGTGGCAATTCTCAGTTTTAGCATCAATGTCTTCAATTCAACAGTGAAGAGTGCATAGTGTTTGGCCAAACGTCACTGAAGTCCAGCTATTTGGTGTTCTTCCCCATTCAAGTGCAATGTCTGCTTTCTCAACGGTCCCATTTCAGGCAGCTCATTCAAAGATTTGCTTTGAACATGGATGTTGGAGAGGGTCATCCTGTGTTGAGACAAGCACTAATCATTGCATGCGTTTATCTGGCATCTTTCCCTTAATTACTCTAGCATGTTTTGTCGCTGCGCAGTTGTTCAGCCGTTTCAGCCTTTCCACGTGGCAAAAGCCTGAGCTCGAGCAAAAGAGTGACCTCTGTGATGCGCGCTGTTCCAAAAACTATCACGCTGAGCACCGCCATGCCGAATGCCGGGGAAAAGGAACCGTCCGCCACGGTTCCCCCACGGACTAATCATTTGGGCCTAATCCCTCTCTCCAAGAATGATGGCGGGTAGCAATAGGAGGGCTTTAGAACTGTTGGAAGTAGGGCAATGCTTCGCTAACCCAAAGTGAGGCAACCAAATCGCACAAGCTCAAACACACTCTCCAAAACGAACGCGAACCCTAAAAAGCATGTGGCTTGGAAATTCTGACCAAAGCCTGTCTCCTCGCAATTGGATGTAGCAAGGTCCGCAACTGAAGCATCCTCGTATGATCCATTATTCAGATGGCCCTCAGCGGGGGGATCCATACAAGGGGATTTCACAGGGTGGGCCAATTTTTTGTTTAAACAGTTTGAAACTGCCATTGCTCGTACACTCTCCGTTCCATTTGCCTTTAAGGGAAACCAGGATGTAATTGTATCAGCGTCATTTTGCGCCGCCCTGCTATAGACCGATCGAAGAAAAGTGCACCTCACTCTGTCAACTGGCTCATGGCATCTGTGCTCCGGATCGTGGCCGCCTAACCTCATGCTCCCGAAAGACGAAAGACGAATGCGCCAGCCTACTTGTCCTAGGTCCTCCAGATTTGAGAGGTTAGAATAAGGGTGCCCATTGTTTTCTGTATTGTCTATTTTGGTAGGGGGGTTCCCTCCCAACCAAAAAAGTTGGTGAGAAAGGGCACTACTTGGGGGCCTAGCTTCTTTCGAGTTTCGGAGACAGGGACGACGTCCCCAAAAGGCCAGGTCATATCTCAGCCTTTCGTGGAAAATCTGTCGGCTCAGATCTTGAAGCCCCCCGCGGGCTCCCACTTGGCACCAAGCTCCGACAGCTTCTTGTGCGCCTCGAAAAGAAGACGGCGCAAAAAGCGATGCAACCAATCCCGCTTGAAACTATGAGTTGGCTGCGGGTCAAAAAATATGTACCAAAAATGGAATCCCGGGCTGGTAAATGGAAACATGCGGCCCAAAACCTGCGGCCCAATTCCTGGTGGCTTAATTTTGACCCATGCCCATTTAAACGTGTTTTGTTTGTGTTTGTCGGATGGCCGCTGCGAATATTCCTCCTAAGTGCTGAAAGAGAAAAAGAATCCCCCCCCAAAAAAACATCCACAGTCGGGAATCCTCAAACATGTCGCCTGAAACTATTGTCGAATTTTGGTGTACGGTACACCTTCAATGGAGGTACCTGCTCTATTAAAACATTTATTACCTAAGCCTGTACGGCATTTGGTCTACCTCAGGGATGATCTAAAAAAGAGGGTCCCTCAACTGCCCAAGTCAAGTCTCCACAACATGGAACTCTGCTCCTGCGCACTCTTTGCAGCCCTGCGACTCATCTCAATGGATGGGCCCCCTGGAATTGAAAGTCCATCTTTGGAAAGGGCCAGGCTTCCACGAAGCTCATTTGAGTCATAATCAAAACCTGGTATCAAATTGGTCTACCCAGAACCATGCTTCAAGAATTAAGAAGGCGGCCGCAGCTAGTTGTGGTTGGGATTATCCCTTACTAACCTTCATCTACCCGGGTTTTGATTGTGGCTCATTTGGCAATTTTTGGAAGGGTTCCCATGGGCGAAGCCTCTCAGTCTTATAAATGGATCGCAGGCTTTTGCCCGTAAAGCTGTTGGTTACGGTCGGGTGAAAGTGCATGGCACTATTCCTCCATTTGGGTTTAGTTTAGGCGTCCCCTTCACTTGCCCAAGTAAAGGAAACTATGTCATCTACCTTCACCCTGTTGTACATGTCGACATAGTTTTGCATCTCATTTTGAAAGCTCAGAACCAAGGGAAGCAAGGGAACCAACTCATTTTGATGTTACGTTTAAAACCGAGGGAGGACACTTTTTGGGAGATCAAAAAAACATTTGGTGTCTGAGGACGGCTGGCTTCTGGGTGGAGTCGCCATCTGGAGCGTCTCCCTTTTGGCTGAGTTGCGGAATGTTGCTTGGGCGCTTGGATCTCACTGATGTCTCGTTTAGCCGTTGGGGGAAAAAAATAATCAGATGCCCAGTATTCACCACAAACCACAGGACTTCCAGTCATAGATTCCCCCCCCCAACGGGAAAAAAGCGGTTCCACCCGGGCTTCGTCGGCGTTTCACCCTTTCCCCCTTCCCCCGCCTTGGCATAATCCGCAAAGAAGGCGCTCTGATCCTGTCGGCGTTTCACCGGCCGCGGGGTCACAGACATCGACTGGAGTTGGTACCCCCCTTTTTCGGGCGGTTCTATCAAGAAAACCTCCACAATAACCGGGGCTGGAAGAAGGGGACGCCAGCCAAAAAATGAGTTGTTGTTTTTGTTTGCCTGGTTAGTGGAAAACAAAGGAACCCAAAAAAAGCAAAAACAAACACAAAAAAGGGGGGAGCTAATTCTGGGAGTGAAAGGGGGGACATATGGGTTTGTCCTGTTTTTTAGGCGGTACCCTTTTGTGGGTGGCTTTTAAAGGGAAAACACGAGGAAAACCGAAGACATGTTGGGGCCTAGAAAAAAGACGCACCCACATGACTATCTTGCGATGGCTGAAGCGGACCTCTAGAAGCTCCTCACAAACGGATTCTAATTGTTTGTGCCTAACAAGCCACAGCGATGTCCACCCCGGATGACTCCCAAAAGCTGCCACTAATCAGGGGTGATTCACCTTTGTTGGTGGGGGATCGATGTGGCAATCTAAACCTCACATTCTTCTGGCATCCCCTCCTGGAACGGAAGACGCCTCTGGCAAATCCGGAGCGGTTTCCCAATCCAAACTCATTCCCCTGGAACCCCGCAAAGGTAAGAATGTCTGTTTTCGGATTTGGGAAGTAAGATTCATTTGTTCTCAACATGCTGACATGCATGAATATCATGATGATCCCTGTTTCAAGTCCGCGAGATGCTGGCAAACAATTTGTCGCCCCGGTTGTTTCACCCGCAAATTGTCCAGAAGCAGCTGAGACGCTTCAACAGACTCTCACGAAAGTGGGGGGGTTCTCTGAACTTGGGGCTCACAACCGACGGACAAACGATAGAGACGACCACGACGGCACAAACCACCACCGCCAGCACCAACACCACCATAGAAACAGCAGCAGAGCCGCACACAAACCGTTCAAACTGAATTGTTGCCCTGTGCTTTCCCTTTAAATCCCATAACATCACAGGAAAAAACACATAAAACCCCAGAAGAAAGACAAAATCAAGAAGGGGAACAGCAAAACAACAAAACCACATCCAGAAGAAACCCCACGCCATCTCTTGAATGCAAAAAAACGCACCCGAAGAAACCCCGCGCCATTTCTCTGAATGCATGTCTCCCCCCCCCCCCAAAAAAAAAGGGGGCCTCCGCGTACTTCTGAAAGAACGGCTTGAAGACCGGATCCTCGTGCAGCGCCTGGCCGCGTAGCTCGTCGGAAGTTATTTGGCGCCGAGGGGCGGCTTTTGGCCAGACACTTCGCCCTAGAAAAAGCGCGGGAGGCGGGAGAAGCAACCACTGGCGGCTGTTTGCTGAAGCAGAACCATACTGTGGATGGCCGAAATCCTGCACCACCAAGAAACCCTGTTTCTGAGGATTCCCCTGTAAATACCAACAAGTACTGGTTTCCCATGGTGTCAAAGTAGTGCAGTATTTAGTCCATCCACAGTATTTGGGGTTGGGTACATTTTAAGACCAAGTTTGGTGCTGATTGCTGCAGGGCGCCCTTCAGAAATCAAGGGATCCCGTAGCTCCGGAGAGGTGTGCTCATTTAGAACCTGGGGCATTGTTTTGAGGGGGTCGACTCCCAAACTGCCCCGTTGGGAGGAGGCCTTCCAAACCTTTTTGCTGAAAAGAATCTAAGTCATGGCCCCCTCCCTGGCCACGGGCTGCTGATGCTTTACAAGGCCCCTTCTGAACTCCTCCAGCAGAGAGGTTAGAATAAGGGTACCAACTCTTCGTTTCTGTAGTCGATTTTAGTAGGGAAACCCTCCCCCAACAAAGGGTAAAGGGGCACTACTGGGGGACCTAGTCAAAGCTCTTGCCTGAAAGGAGACACTCTTGCCCGGAGTAAGTGCTTCAAGGGAAATGCCTGGCTCAAAGTTGTACTGCCAAGTTCCCCACACCTTTGCCTTCAAACAATTGGTCCCCAAAGTTCGCACCACAAAAAGCGGCTGTGTTCCCACAATTCGGACCCTGACCATATGTTGGGGGGGGGGTCCTCTTTTAATCAGCCCCCACAGTATAGGAGAAAGCTACGTAAATATTTGGCCCCCTAGATGCTTCCTGTAGACTGTAAAGCCACCGATGTGCTCGTCCCGAAAAAAAAATCAGCTTCTGTTTGACCAAACGGAAGTAGGGGTATGTCAAATAGTGAAAATAGTGCCCCCCCCCAAAAAAAAAAAAAAAAAAAAAAAATGTATATATATATATAAAAAAAAAAAAAAAAAAAAAAAAAAAAAAAAAAAAAACTGCAGTTCCTGTTGGTTTCTCTTTAAGCCGATCTGGAAAGGGTACCTCAAAAAAAGCCACGTATACGGACCCAATAGAAGAATGGTGCCATCTTCTGGCTGTTGTATCGCAGAAGGTTTGATTTGGCAGATAGGTCCCACAATGTGCACTCCCTTTTTGGTGCCCAACAACACCTCACAATTTTAGAACTCCAGCCCGCTTTTCCCCACATGCGTCTGTCTCAGAATCGGGGACCCGAAAAATGGCTGGCTTGCATCTTCGATTGGTGCGCCGGTCTTTTCACAGCCAACTCAGCCATGACAAGGCCAGCGGTTGGGATCTGTTTGGACTTTTCAACCGCTCGGAAAATCCGACGGCATCCAAGGGATGCGGAGAACTGCAAACAGCTGTCGCCAGGTCGGGAAGTTTGGGGGAAGCCCGGTGTGCTTGGGCAGGGGAAAATAGGTGAGGTGGAGGTGGGGGTGCGGTGGGAGAGGTAGGAAATCGCTTGCGGGGTTTGAAAGAACGCTTTGGGAATTTTGGGGAACCAGTTGGATGGTTCAGCTCCTTCCGACCAGTTGCTCCCTTGAGAGCGAAGCCCAACCCGAGGCCCGGTCACAGCCAAGTTGGGGTCCAGGGGCCCG